CCCCCCAGGTTACATGGGGATAATAAGGGGTTCAGTGTCAACATTTGACTGATGGGACTGTTTGCTGTCAGGAATCAAACCTGTGACTCTCATGGGTGGACCAGCAGCCCACTCTCTGGGGCGGCTGTGGTGTAGTGGTAGAGTAGCCGGCTTTGGGACCTGTAAGGCACAGGTTCCACTACCCGCCATGCCCACATGCTGTCATTGTGTCCTTGGGCAAGACACTTCACCTGCCTTGCCTACTAATGGTGGTCAGAGGGTCCTGTGTATGGCAGCCTCACCTCTGTCAGTGTGCCCCAGGGCAGCTGTGGCTACAGTGTAGCTTACCATCATGTGTGTGTGTGCATGGGTAAGTGTAAAGCACTTTGAGTGTCCTGGTTGGATAGAAAGGCGCTATATAAGTACAGTCCATTTACAGTTACTCTAACCACTGAGCCACTACTGCCCCAAAGGATAAATTTAAAATTTCAACATCTGAAGGAATCGTTATATTTAGAGTTAATGTTTTAAAATGTGTGATTAGTATAAATACAAATCATTATTAGAAACACAACATTTTTGTTTTACAGTGTAACTCTCTGACACTTCAGGAAACACCCAAAGTGAACCCACACATCCGGGTGAAAAAGAACGTCTCTTGTCTAAAACTTTAAAACAGACAACAGGATATGGACTTTCAAAATAAATTCCACAACGAACGTTATATTTGTCTCTGTCGTTACCAAAGATGCAGTTTTTATTTTTGAAAAGCCACTTTAAGGACACTTTTTATCTGTCAGGTTCAGGTGTTTCAGTCAGGGTTGAGCTCAGCCCCACATCTGCACTGATGAACGATCTTAAAAACACAAAGACAGGCCGGACCATTTTTATGTTTCCAGTTTTGTGGCAAAACTTTGTTGAAGGTTATTTTCTGTTACTTGACTGAGTCCTAACTTGACCACGATCCAGAGACCCTAACCCTATCAGGTACTGATGCTGGGACAGGAAGTCTGACTTGCGGGACTTCCTTGTGTGTTAAATTTAATCAGTTATGTATATTCTTTTATTTATAAGTACATTTAATTATCAGTACTAAAGCACTGCTAAAGTACTGACAGAACACTAGCACACATTGAGTCATGTTTCTGTTTTATTCACTACTGCTGGATGACTATGTAAAAAAATTAAATGTATGTAACATAATGCTGTCTGTTCAAAGTATACAGATTTGATCTTATTTACCTCAGCGTGATTTGAACTGAAGTTAATAGTGTAACTGTTTAAAAGCAGTTTATAAAGCCGATGTAATCATTGTGAATTATTTAATAGATTATAGTTTCTGTAGCATATATTGTTATAAAGAGTGTAGAAATAAGTATGTTGTACAGACTAAATCATGGTAGCTACCTACTCTGTATGAATTCTGAAAATGTAATTTTGAGCTCAGGCAATAAAAAACTGATCACTGCAATTGGCTGCAACTAGAAAACTCCACATAAAAACAGTTTACATGGTAAATAAGTTATAGTTACAAATTTATCAAATAGATCATTGTTACTTATGAACAACATACTTTCCTTATGTAAAATCCTTTTTACATCATCTTTTGCGTGATTGYTGTATAAAACTAACATGAATTTTATAAATGTGTCATAAAGAGATTAAAAGTAGTTTGTGACACGGATCCATTTGGACTTTCTGTTAATAAAACAGCTGTTGATTTCTCCCAGATGTCGCAGATTTGCTCCATAGTGTCATTTTTGTGCTTTTATTGTGAAACGACCGACCGGAAGTTTTTAGTTAGCAGTTCACCTTGACGTAGCATCGCAGGTTCTGGGAGCGGACAGGATGGAACCGTGATCCGAACCACTTGCGGATTAAAACCTGCTGTAGTGACGTCAGCATGGCTCAAAAGGTACGTGCTCACCTGGACCTGGCGGCGGGAACAGCTCTCCTGGAGCTGCCGATGTGCGCGTGCAGAACTCCATAGGGAAAAAAGCGGATTTAAGCGAGCAGCGGGCGCGCAGGTAACAGGGCGAGCTCCACCTCAAAGACTAGGTAAAAGAGGCGGAAGCACGCGGAAAGCCTGTGCACAATCATTTTTCTTTTGATACTAGCGGAAAAACGAGCGCACGCGCGTGAGAAACTACAGGTTCATGTGGAAAAACACCTGCAGCGAAAGGGTGACGTTGGCGCCCCGAGTCTGGTAAGAGCTGGCTCTCAGGTGGGCAAAAAGAGGGAAATAATGTAGGAATGACGTCATTAAACGTAGCTGACAGGTTAAAATGATCAAAACTAATTACGGATCTATCAGCACACCTAGTCATCAGCTGATCAATCTAAGGTTCACACCTGATCATCAGCTGATCAATCTGAGGTTCACACATGGTCATCAGCTGATCAAGCCCAGATTCAAACCCAGTGATCAGATCATCAATCCGAGGTTCACTTCTGGTGATAAGCTGATTAATCAGAGGTTCACATCTGGTGATAAGCTGATTAATCAGAGGTTCACATCTGGTGATGAGCTGATTAATCAGAGGTTCACATCTGGTGATAAGCTGATTAATCAGAGGTTCACATCTGGTGATGAGCTGATTAATCAGAGGTTCACATCTGGTGATAAGCTGATTAATCAGAGGTTCACATCTGGTGATGAGCTGATTAATCAGAGGTTCACATCTGGTGATMAGCTGATTAATCAGAGGTTCACACCTGTCATCATCTGATCAATAATTGGTTCACACCTGGTCATCAGCTGACCTTTTTCTGCTTAGCCTTCAGAGTGGAAGGACGTGCTTTCACTTTCTCCTGAACCTGCCCCCCGTCCCTGCTTTGCTGCTTTTGCTCTTCAAGCTTTTTTTCACCTACCATCCGAAACAGAAGGTATTATGGATTTGGTCAACTGGTCTGTGAATGAAAGTGACACCGTTTTTTTCCACATTATGATTGAACGAGGGAAACGTTGCTGTCTGGGTGGAATGGTCGCTGCCGGCCGTGTCAGCAGTTCATGGGGCTGGAAGCTGATGTGCCTGGCACCACTTTCCATCAAGGACGTGGAAGATTTATATATATTTGGATTTATGATAACTGGATTCCTGCTGATCGGCGGAGGAGGGTTCCAGGTTTATTGAAAAGTGAAAGCGACCCTGACAGTGGTTCGGGCCTTTGAGAAGCTGCCGRGTGCACTTGAAGGATCCTGCCAGGCTGGAAGCACACAGACTCTCAGCTGGGAGAGATTAATCGCAAACTGGATGTGATTCTGACGAGGGTCGTTGCTCAGGAGTAAGCCTCTGGCCTGTAAGGATTACACCTGGGTGAAGCTTCAGTTGGTGAAAGGCGAGGAAGACCCCAAATTTGGCTGAATGGTTTTTCGTTTTTTTTTTTTTTCACCATTTTAGAGATGCAGTTAAGACATTTATTTAAAAGCAGCAGAAAATTTCAAGGCTGCTTTGTTTCAAAACAAATTGGATTATCTATTGGCTCCCAGCGAAAGGGCCTTGATGGGCATGTTATCTGAAACTCTCCGGGATGGAATTTCAAAGGCTTGATCCCCTCCCACCCCATCACCTGTGCTGGTCCTGGCTCTGGAACCCAAGGCCGAGGAAGAGAAACTCTGAACTCTGGCCAAACGAGCAGAGACGATAACATCATGTGACTCTGGACTCTGGAGGTGGCCAGGGTTGGGTCCTAACATGGACCCTCCTCCCTACTCCTCTGATCCCACCCCATCTTACCTCCCTCCCATGTGTTATCTGACCTAACCCCCACCCACCCCCCGCTCAAGCTGTCTGCTCTCTCGCGAGTCATTTCTTGTGCACATGACCCTGTGTTTCTGGTGTAAACATAGGATCAGAGCAATTTTTTAAACCAAGCTTTCCTCTTACAGCTTAACAGCTTTCCTGTACACCTGTTCCCCCATGTTTGTTATGTGTGTCTTCTTGAATAGGTGTTCTTAACTGTTTATACAGCACCTTGTGAATTTACTGTGAAAGGCGCTATATAAATAAAATTTTWCTTACAATCACTGGTTCACACCTGGTCATTTGCTGATCAAAGATAACAAATCACGATAAACTCTTTAGAGAAAGTTAATGAAAGAAGTTCATCATCAGGGTCTCCCCACAGCCAGACTCCTAATACAGGTACGACTCTTCATAACACCGGTACGACTCCTGACACAGGTAACTGACTCATGACAAGTACAGTCAAAACTCCTGGTACAGTTAGGAATGACTCCTGGCACATGAAGCTCACCTGTTTCTGCTGATTAAACAAGTATTAACAGGTGAACAGTATAAAGCCATGAGTCACTGTTTACAGGACATAACTGAATGAGAGGAGAGGAAGCTTCAACTGGTTTAGTTCTAAAGAAATAAACAAAGTATCAGTGTACTGATTCTAACAGAAAACCTCTACAGGGTGTATCAGAAAAAATGATACTCTCAGAAAAATCGCCATAAAATTAACAGATAATTTTAAAATGTGGGCGTAACCTTTGGTAGAGGGGATCATTCTGCTTCGAATGACACCAAAATCTTAGTTAACGCTTCATGCTCCAGTGAGCAGGGACAGTTGGAAATTCACAAAATTCATGTCCTTTGTGCAAGGAAATGTGAGGGTTAAAATACGATCTGTCACATAGTTTAGATGGTGTTTTACATGCACCAAAATGTCAGATTTCTTTAAATTTGGAAGATCTGCAATAGATAAAATCGGTGGAAAAGATCAGCTTCTCATCTACCTCCGCAAAGGTCTGAAAATCAGCCACTGTTCCCTTTCGCTCTGCATTGAGCACTGCCAAATGTCCAGTTAAAACAAGTTTGTATTGTTTCGGTGTACTGTTGAACGTTTTTCAATAAAACAAGATTGTGACCTTATAACACCTGAGATTTGGSAGGAGAAACTTATTAAAGTTGGTGATCAGTGATCAGCCAGAAAAATGCAATCTGTGCACCCCTAATGTTAAAGTGTTTTTCACTCAGTCATTACTTCAGTTTTTTGGTATTCCACTCACCTAATTCATAAAAGTAATGTAAACAAACACACATTGGTTAAAATATCCTGTTGCAGTTTTTCTCAGAAGTACCAAAACAGGTCTGTGTTTTATAACAAACAAACATGAGGAGATGGCAGGAAAATCTAAATACAGGCAGGGAGCAACAGGAGACGCTGAAAGGAAGTCCAGTTCGGTTAATATTATTGAACTGACAATATAACAGGAAGTCCACTTCTTGTATTATACAGAGTACTACTAGAAGTCTGGTTCTTGTGGTGCCATCAGACTTGTAAGTCTTTCTGTTTTTCAGGCCCTGGTTCTGTATGACTTTGCAGCTGAGCCTGGAAATAATGAACTTTCAGTCAGAGAGGGAGAGACAGTTACCATCCTCGACCAGGTAAGCTAACCTTACCTCAGATACTCAGTCCTGACACATGTATTCCACGTATCAGTACTAATACATTACTAACTCATCCCTGCTGCACAGACTATAGGAGGAGGCTGGATTGCAGCACAGAACCACAACGGACAAACTGGACTTGTACCTGAGGGGTATTTACAGGTGAGCAGTTGCTCTTCCTCTTATTTAGACTGATGTTTTAAGTATTTAATGATAAACATCTAAAATCACCACAGAGAAATAAAAGCACCTCCTTGGACAATGTTTTGTTTCAGATTGGAGGCGGAGACTCCAAACCAGGGGGCGTGGCTTCTGCCAGTAACTCTCAGGGATGGGACAGTCGAGCACATCCAGAGTTATATCAAGGTACAACAGACCTGGTTTTAAGATCAGTGGTATAGTTTTCTGTTTATTCCATAGTTGAGTTTAAAATTTCTGTGTAACAGGTGAGATTGGAACTAAATATTTGTTGATTAGTTGGCTGATTCTCAAGAAAAAGAGCTACTAGAGACCTCTAATATCTTCCAAACACAATGACTGAAAAAACTTTGTCCAAAACTGATTAAGGATATCCTACTTATGAGAACTGACCAAATCAAAGTGTCTCCAGCAGCTGCTGAGGATGATGATGGCGAGTGGGACGATGACTGGGATGACCAATCAGTGAGCAGTTACCACGGAAATGGTCACGTAGAGGAAGAGGTGGGAGCTTCTGGACGAGTTACCCATGGTCCCTCCGTCAAGATCTCCCTCAACAAGTAAGTTTTTTAAGTTTTATTTTTTTGCATCCCAATATATCTCAGTAGTACGCTGTAGTATATATTCCAATGATCCCAGTACACATCCTAGTATAGATCCAAGGTTATATCCAAGTATATATCCTAGTAGATCCCAGTATACATTTCAATATATCCAAGTATTTACGTATGTTAATACAGATTCAAATAAATATGGCAATATGTCCTAGTACATCACAGTATATATCCCAGTATACACCCTAGTAGATCCTAGTATACATCCAAGTATATATCCTAGTAGATCCCAGTATATATCCCAGAATATATCCTAGTATATCCCAGTATATATCCTAGTGGATCCCAGTATACATCCAAGTATATATCATAGTAGATCCCAGTATATATCCCAGTACATATCCTAGTAGATCCCAGTATACATCCCAGTGTTTTGGTGTGTCCTCAGGTTCCCTTTCTCCAAAGCTCCGAATCCAGAAGTCTTCCTGTTGTCCAAACCTCCTGCTAACAGCAGAGACAGACTTCCTGTTTACGTGAGTCATCAGKAGTCGTCTCCCCTCTCTCTGGTTGATGACTGTTAAGGCCTCGTTATCCCCGATGCGTCGCGCAGGGCGTGAGGTGCGCGTGCACTAGCCTTTGCAGAGTTTCAAAAAATCAGAGGTGCACGAYACGCGGGGCCAAAGCGCAGGGGCGGCGCTATTGCATCACCTATGGCGCGCGCGCACCTCGCGCCCTGCGCGTCGCGTCAAGTATAAATCTAGCTTTACCGATCGGTGTCTCTGCTCACTCATTGGTTCTGCTTTCGTCCAATCAGATGGGAGAGGTGGGTCCTGTCTGGCTGTACTCAACTTCTCCTCTGGACTGCATCATCGCAGATCCAAAGAAAGAATCCAAGCTATATGGACTGAAGAGCTTCATTGAGTACCAGGTCATTCCAAATGTAAGGCCATACTCCCTAGTACTTTTTGTAATATTTTGCAATACAAAAATTATATCTGTAATACTCTGTATTACTTTCTGTAATACTCTATGGCACCCAGAGGATYTTTGAAGCACTGGGTTTTTCTCTTTGTAAGACTTTGCAGTACTCGAGATCTTTTTAGTACTATGTAGTACTTTACGTAATCCCCTTACTACTCCAATAATTTCTGTAGTACCATATAGTACTTATAACACTCACTGATGATGATTATCCTCTAGACCACCAACAGGCCTGTCAATCATCGCTACAAGCACTTTGATTGGCTGTACGAGCGTCTCCTGGAGAAGTTCGGCTCCTTGTTACCCATCCCCTCTCTACCTGACAAACAGGTCACAGGTGAGCTGTCACCATAAAACACACCTGTCAATCAGCCTGTGGCTCCTGTAGGATTTACCTGTCCACCTGACAGCTGTAGGATTTACCTGTCCAAGTCTGTAACCTGTTTGAGTCGTAACCTTGTTTGAGTTGTTTAGTTTACAGGAAAGGCTGTGTAAACTTTGAACAACTCGATTGCACCTGCTTGACCCTGCCACACCTGACAAAGTAACCCATATGCCACTCTGAGCATGTGTTTAATCTCACATGTGCTCAGGTAGGTTTGAAGAGGACTTCATCAGGACGAGGATGGAACGTTTGCAGGCTTGGATGACGCGGATGTGTCGTCACCCCGTTGTGTCTCAGAGTGATGTCTTTCAGCTCTTTCTCACTTACAAAGATGAAAAGGTAGGTTAAACCACACCCCCTGCAGGTGACATCTCAGGTAGCTGAGAGAATGTTTGATTGGCTGAGGCGGAGTTCTAATGTTTCAGGAGTGGAAGGCAGGAAAGAGGAGGGCAGAAAAAGACGAGACAGTCGGTCCAATGATGTTCTCTCTGATTGAACCTGAAGCTGCAGAACTCGACGTTACTCAAGTGTAAGTCGCCTTTCTGAATACCTGTCTGTTCTCTGAGCTTTATATGTTAGGGTACATCCACTCTACAATACCTGGTGACTGTTGAGCAAACTGGAAGTTCATCCATACTGGCTCTTGAGTTGGTCATATAAGGAAACATTACAGGCAAGATAGAGCCAGTGACGTAAAGTCCACCTCATTATTGTTTTGAGAGGGCTTCATTTAAAACACAGTCAAATGTACCAATGTAAAATGAAATGAAAATTAAACCAGATAGACCCAGGTAATAGGACTAAACCACTGTCACAGTCACAAATGAGGATCATCAATCATTGGTATGCCTAAATAAATGATTAACGATTAAACAATTTATTTGGGGGGACAATCTTCATTTTTTCAGGAGGGGGGAGATGCCCCCCAATTTTGGGCCTCAAATTTTGGCCCCCCAAGGTTTCCACCCAAGAAAATTTGTAGACCTGTTTGCAGTCTACGCCAAGTGTGTCTCCATTTTTGGTTCCAGCCTTGCTTTCAGAACCCCCTCAGCAGTGGTTCCAAACGGGTACAATCAGGAATTGCGCGCAGACAATCTTGACGTCAGCAGACTTCTGTTTGTGGGTTGGCTGAACCGAGGCAGAACTTGGAATGTCCTCCAGCAAACTTCTCCGGTTGAGAGGTGAAGGAGACGAGCGCATACAGCTTGAGCTGGATGGAGATGTCTGAAATGAGCAGATAAACTGGGAGGTTTCAGACCAACTGGTCACACTTATAAACAGTGCTAAGACAAAAAAAAATCAGACAACTGTGCGATAAAACCACAACAACTTAAACTGTGTGCTGACAATCATTCTACAGAGTGAGGGACACACCTGCACCTGAGCAGAACCAAACAGACATGAATAGAGTGCGACAGGACAATGGAGACAGGGCTTTAGATAATAAGGACAGGTTAGGCTCGTAGAGTAAATCTTGTATCAACACTAGCTGTGTTACAGTGTATCGGTGTGTGTTAATGTGTTGTGTAGTGAACAGAAGTGCGAGCAGTACAGTCGGTTTACGAAGTCGATGGATGATGGCGTCAGAGAGCTGCTGAACGTTGGGAACACGCACTGGAAACGCTGCACTGGACGTCAGTATTAACTCAGTTATCTGTATTTATAACTAACAGTTTTCAATGATGCAGTTTTCTCTGAGTTTATGTGTAGATAACACAAAGACAGTGCATTTAGTTTTTGCTCTGACTGTAAGCACGTGCAGTGTTAGTCTCAGGTGTTTGTTGTTTGTGTGATCCAGCTCTGCCTAAAGAGTACGAGCGAATCGGTCAAGCCTTACAGAACCTGTCGACCGTTTTCAGCAGCAGCATGTATCCAGGTGAGGCCACATAAGCCAGGTTAGTTCTCAATAAAGGGTTTCAATGATAGTTGGTGGTGCGTTCAGGGACACTGGAACAGTTAGATTTTTGCCAGCTGTTTATAAAATACATCAGGAGTGGGCAACTTAAATGATGGAAGGAGCCACAAGGTTTTGTTGGCACCACCCAAGGGCCCATAGTGCTGCACACTTACCCAAATATAATAAAACAGCCATTTTAAAAACGTTTGTATATGTTTAATAAACCAACATACGGTGCAGTAACTTAACATATTTCATGCTCAAATATACATGTATAACAATTGTTGTTTAATAAATATGAATACAAAGAAACAAAAAACGAATACAGTCCCTGTAGTTTCTGTACTCCTGACTTCAGTAAACTTCTCATATTTAGCTTTGTGCAACATGTTAGTGCTGACTTATATCCTTCATGGCAGACAGCGTCTCTAAACAGACTAAACACGTAGGTTTGCCTTGAAATTCTGTGAACAGATGGTCTATCTCCCAAAAAGAAAAATTAAAAGATTTGGAGGAGTGGCTCATTGGAGGGCCAGACAGAAGTAGGTTGGCACCACTAGTTGCCCATCCCTGGAGTGTATATATAAAAAATGTGTAACTTTACCATGTTTGTATTGAAGGAGAGGAGACGCTGACGAATGCTATGACAGCTGCAGGAAAAACCTATGAGGAGATTGCTCAGATTGTCGCACAGCAGGTAAAAGCACAGCGCACACACAGACACACACTCACACACATCATATTTACTGCTTTATGTTTCTCTGATGTCTCTCCAGCCTCAGAAAGATCTGCACTTCCTGCTAGAGACCAACAGCGAGTACAAAGGCCTGCTGGGATGTTTCCCTGAAATAATCACTGTACACAAGGTACTGCAGTTCTACTTTGATAAAATACYACATATCTACACTCAAGGTACTGCAGTATTACTACACCCCTCTGTGCACCTAACAGTATTACTACATACTAATATGTCACTGTACACCAGATACTTCAGTCACTGTACACCAGGTACTTCAATACCACTACGTACTGATGCTAGGGGTGTAGCACCAAATTCTGGGCCCTGTTGATGTCAGTGGGCCTCTATCCATGCCAGTGCACGAGGTGCATAAATAAAAAAAAAGGGGGGGGGGGTATTCTTTTAAATAAAGACGCATAAGTAGGGTTTTAAGCTACAATCAGATCAGATTATATTGATGAGTGGTTCTTTCATTCACCAGCTGAAATGATGCATTTGGCCTCCCTGTGTTCAAATACCTAAAACATTTTGCTACATCTGGTTTGTGTACTAATGTTGTGATGACACTCGAGCAAATTTTAATCTAAAAACATTTATTCTTGAACTTTAGACAAACATTTGGTACATGAHGTGTGCTCAGTTTAACTGTCTGCACAAGTCATAAACTGAACACCAAATATTTATTTTGTGATGCAATAATAGTCAAACCGTATTAACTGAGATTATGTTCACTTTTATTAAACTATGTAGTGTACCAGCCCTTTAAACTCACTAAGAATACAGTTTGACTATCAGCCATAGTTTCATACAGAGACACAGGTGGAGCTCAACAGGTGTGTTTCTCCTCTCTAATTGCATCATCAAAAAATTTGCAGTGTATGTAAAGGACACACTGGATGGGGGTCTGGGGGTCCTCCCCCAGAAAATCTTTGAATAAAGTAGAGGCTATTTCCTGATTTCTAGTGTATTTCARCAGGTTGTTAAAGGTACTTTTACTTATACAAATAAAGACTTAATWAGAGACAACTAGAGACAGATTCTTTATTAAATTAGTTGCATCGTCCTGTTTTTAAACTCACTTATGGCTCAGATAATTAAATTAATGATAATTTATCTCAAACAGGTTTAGAGGAGATTTTTACATTTATTTTGTTTATTATTAATTTAATCTTATTTATAACRCAACAAAATGTGCCAAACAATGACACACAACTGCATGTTTCAAACTAAAAACATTAATAACTTTACCCAATGAACAGGTGTAATTATGATAACAACCAACAGTGAATTTAGGGGGGCGTTTGACTTTTTTCTGATTTGATGACAGACCCACTCATAAACTGACATGACATCATGCAGCTTTCTTCACAACATAAAATAACACTGTCAAAGAATGGTGTTGTAAAAATAACTTTTGTCAGTTTCATCAACCTGCATGTAAATTAGGAACAATTGATACAAGGATGTTGGAACCGATTAGAAAGCTAATGATGGATGGATTGACAGATTTATTTACTGAGTTTTATTTAACCAGGAAAATCTGAATAATGAAAACTACTTTCTACAACTTCCTAGAAATGAAAGTAATAAGCCTATCACTTTCATACTGGTCAAAATAAAATGAAATTATTAATCATGCAATAGATGATGTATCTATATCAGTAATTCATTACATTAAGTTCACACGGCTGACTAGAATGTACTCAAAATAACATTTTATATTTTCTTCACACCTGCCCATCACCTTCATCTCTTACCTGAGACACTCTGTCCTGAGACAGTCTGTCCTACCTGAGACACTCTGTCCTGAGACAGTCTGTCCTACCTGAGACACCTGCTGCCTCTGCCTATGTATCCAGCTCCTTCTTCAACAGACATGAAGATAGATTAAGTATTAGGTATTTTACTGCCACCTGAAGTCAGTCAGCTTTAAAAACTCCAGAAAATATCATGAAATAACATGAATAAATACCTGATCACTATTTGTTCTTTGCATCATTTCACTGTTTTTATGCAGAAAATACAGAAACTCTAAGAAACTTACACTTTTTTAATGTGATGAATTTATTCTTGCAAAGATAATAAAAATGTACTATTATAATATTTATAAGCTTTACTATATTCAGTTAAATTCAAAAATACTTTATTGATCCCAGAAGGAAATTAATTGTATTATACAAAAAAATTATACAAAAAACAACTCACTAATAGATTAAATGCTATCACTRAAAGTGATCATTTACAGTATATGTGACTGTAGCAGCAAGCTAACATTTCATAAGAAAAACAGCTGCCCTGTGGACTTATTTCTGTTTCTTTGTAAAGAATAGTTTGATCAAATGCTGGATGTTCTGTTAATGACGCTGACGTTACCTGCAGCAGCTCCAGGAGCACTGAGAATTCATCACCACGTTGTGTGTCTGCGGGTGCGCGTCTCGGTGAGGCGGGGGGGGGGGATCGGACTCCGGAACGTGCAGCAGCTCTGACGAGGCGCATTGACCACACCAAATAGTTCATTTAAAAGTTGTAGAGCGACTGAAACTTTTAACCAGCTGAACAAGCCAGCCAGTCAGCAGGCAGACCACGGGAAACTTCCCGGTGCCACCCATAGTCTGTCYGRGTYTGCCCKCAGCTCCTTCAGCTGTGTCTGGGTTACACACTTCCTGRTTGCTGTCGGGCGGACTAAACCATTTTGCGCCTCCAAGAGGGGGGCCCCCAGAATGTTCAATATGGTGTGGACAGTAAAATAAAGTTCATTCTCTCAGTTTATGTTATCAATATATTTGAAATAAATTACTACACCAATTAATTGAAGGGCCCATTTCATTTGTCTAAAAAAATAAAAATAAAAAATCAGGACTTCCTTGGGCCCCTCTCCCTTCTTGGGCCCGGGGTACTGAATTCCACATTCCCCCGGACTTCCACGCCCATGACTGATACTATACACCACTGTACACCAAATACTTGAGTCACTGTACACCAGGCACTTCAGTCACTGTACACCAGGCACTTCAGTCACTGTACACGAGGTACTTCAGTACCACTACATACTGATACTATATGCTACTGTACACCAAATACTTCATTCACTGTACACCAAATACTTCAGTCTCTATACACCAGATACTTCAATACCACTACATACTGATACTATGCACCACTGTACACCAGGTACTTCAGTACCACTACATATTGATACTATACGCCACCGTAGATCAGGCTCTAAAATACTACCGCACAAACAGACCACTTATTGTACACAAGGTGGATGTAACTGGTGGGTTGCCCRTTCGATCCCCCGTTCCAGCCGTCACAGTCRTTGTGTCCTGGGGCAAAACACCATCTTGYCTGCTGGTGGTGGTYACAGGGTCTGGTGTTGCTGGTGCATGGCAGCYCCGCCTCTGTCTGTCTGCCCCAGGGCAGCTGTGGCTACATTGTAGCTTACCACCACCAGTGTTAATGTGTGTGTGACTGAAGAGCTTTGGAATCTGTAGGGACTTGATAAGGCACTGTATAAGTTCAAACCATTTACCATTTTTACCATACAGTAATAATAGTCAGAGTCAGTTCTACAACTGTTCTAGATTACACACAAGAAGCTTTTAATTTCAAATATTGGATCAATTTGTAATTCAAAAAGCTTGTTTTTTCACAGACAGATCTGATGAAGCTTGGATTTCAATAAAATAAGTTAATCTGTGACAAAAATAACCTTTATTTTGAAGACTGAAAAATATTTTTGTTAGAGTTTTTATTTTGTAATGAAATACTTTTTCTCACCTGTGTGTGTGTTCAGGCTGCAGTAGATAAAGTGAAGGAAGGAGATCGTTTAGTTTCTACAGGAAAAATCAGCAGCAGTGACAGGAAGTGCATAAACCAACGCATCAGCTGCATGAGCTACTCGCTGCAGGGTAATAGTACCACACTCAGTACTACTCCCAGTACTACACTCAGTACCACACTCAGTACTAGACTCAGTACTACACTCAGTACTACTCCCAGTACCACACTCAGTACTAGACTCAGTACTACACTCAGTACTACTCCCAGTACCACACTCAGTACTACACTCAGTACCATACTCAGAACTACTCCCAGTACTACTCCCAGTACTACTCCCAGTACTACACTCAGTACTACACTCAGTACCACACTCAGTACTACTCAGTACTACACTCAGTACCACACTCAGTACTACTCAGTACTACAATCAATACCACACTCAGTACTAGACTCAGTACCACATAGAGCTGCTACAGAGCATGTGTAGACTGTAACTCGACACTTCCTGTCTTTTCCAGCTGAGATGAATCATTTCCATAGCAACCGTATCTATGACTACAACCGGGTGATGCAGTTCTACCTGGAGCAGCAGGTGGCTTTCTACCAACAGGTGATCTTAGGAGAGAGGGGGCGGGGTCAGGAAAGGTGAGCTGACTGGTGACATCTCCTGTTTGCTCTCTGATTGGACAGATCGCAGACAAGCTGAGAGAAGCTCTGAGTCATTTCAGCACGCTGTGATGGTGRAGTCTGCTGACATCATCGTCACATTACCTGGTCCAGACTTAACAAAATAAAAGCTTGATGTGAGGGGAAACACTAACTTTATATTCTGTTGTATTTATACAGTTTTTTTCACTCTTTTAACAGAATATTAATGATTTCTCTAACAATAAATAATCTTTCTACCTCAGTGTTCTGTGTTCTGGTTTTRTTCTGGTACAGAGTTTCCCTGTGCATGCTGGGAAATAACAGCAATCTGAACCAGGACCTGGCTTTTAAACTGGGTCAGATGCAGATTTGACTGATTCGATTATTTGTAACATGAACAGGTCCAGTGCAGAATTAATACAGTTATTGATCACAATAACACTGAAATGATTGATGATTATTTCATCAGAAGATAAACTGAAGCTTCTGATTTAAGTTGAATTATGAGTTAAAACCAGATTTTATTGTTGTTGTGACAGACGAGATCTCCTGCTGACTCAGCACTGACCTCTGACCCCCAAGTCAGGAATATGCAGGAAAACTAATTCATTTGTTGGAGGTTAAACTTGAAATGTTTTTAATTGTTATACAGGTCYGACACAATGATTAAATAACTATTTACATTTTTTATGAAACCAGATTACCTGAAAATGTCCTAATCTAAATTTAGCTACATTTTCCTCAACTGCTTTTACTGCAGCCTAGTTTACTGGGAAGTGGGAATTTCCCACTTASAAGTTGTAAATTAAACTGGAATGACCCTCCAGTGAAAATTTCTGTTGAAAAGTGGGAGAGTTCAGAATACGTAATGGCAGCTACTCACCACAACTGAACTGTGAGTAAAACTTTACTACGTTTACGTTAATAGTATTAATGTATATATTTTTTCCACATTTAGTCAGTCGTACACATTGTACATTTAGGTGTTTATAAGAGGATGTAATAAAACATTGTTTGTGCAGGAAATACCATGTAGAGCTCAGTTATTGTGTGTTAGCAGTGGTCAGCTGTAGCAATGAGATGAGGAACATGACATTTCCTGTTTAGTCAACGTTAAACAGAAAATGTCAAAGTAAATTACAGCTGGTGCTTTAAGAGCCACTATGATGCTCATGTGGCTCTCTGTGAAAATTTGTTTGATGCTCCTGCACTAGAGGATCTGACTCATCAATAGCTRGTGTTACTGTGAGTTTTGATCTGTGGAAAGAATGTTATCATTCACATCACATGAGTTCATGAGGTGGAAGTTGGAACCAAACCTTGTAATCAGGTCTCAGTTTAATGTGTGTGTAGGTGAAGAGCAGCAGATATTGGAGGTGACAGTTCCAGGGTGAGGGTCCAGGAAGACTCGAGGAGAGCAAGCCAAGAGAGAAACCTTGTAGATAACTCAGAGAACAAGGAACTGGTTAACTGAAGYGACAAAGAACACAAGAAAGTAAGGTTAGTGTAATCCTGAGAGCCAAAGCACTTCACTTACAGTACCAGGCAATGGACACAGTACCAGGCGATAGACACAGTACCTGGCAATAGACACAGTGCCAGGCAGTGGACACAGTTCCAGGTAATAGGCACAGTTATGCAGTGTACACAGTACCAAACAATGGACACAGTCCCATACAAAGGACATAGTACCAGGCCATAAGCACAGTTAAAAGCAATGGACACAGTACCAGGCAATGGACACAGTTCCAGGCAATGGACACAGTTCCAGGCAATAGACACAGTTCCAGGCAATAGACACAGTGTCAGGCAGTGGACACAGTTCCAGGCAATTGACACAGTACCAGGCAGTGGACACAGTAAAATGCATTGAACAGAACCAAGCAATGGACACAGTGCCGGGCAATGGACACAGTTGCAGGCAATGGGCACAGTTCCAGGCAGTGGACACAATTCCATGCAATGAGCACATTTACGCAATGGACACACAGTACCAGACAACGGACAAATTTCCAGACAATGACACAGTACCGGGCAATGGACACAGTTCCAGGCAATGGGCAGAGTTCCATGCAATGGATACATTGTCAGGCAGTGGACAAAGTTCCATGCAGTGGGCACAGTTATGGAATGGACACAATACCAAACAATGGACAAAATACCATACAATGGACATAGTACTAGGCAATGGGCATAGTTACAAGCAGTGGACACAGTACCAGACAATGGACATAGTACCATGCAATGGACACCATTACAAGCAATGGACACAGTACCAGACAATGGACATAGTACCATGCAATGGACACAGTTACAAGCAATGGACACAGTACCAGACAATGGACATAGTACCAGGCAAAGTGCACAGTTGTAAGCAATGGACACAGTAAAATGCATTGAACAGAACCAGGCAATGGGCACAGTTATGCAATGGACACAGTTCCAGACATTGGACAGTACTGGGCAATGGACACAGTTTCAGACAATGGACACAGTTTCAGACAATGGCCACAGTTCCTTGCAATGGACACACTGTCAGGCAGTGTAAAAAATTTCATGCAATGGGCACAGTTATGCAATGGACACACAGTACCAGACAATGGACACGTTTCCAGGCAATGGGCACAGTTCCAGGTGATAGACACAGCACCAAGCAATGGACACAGTTCCAGATTATGGATACAATATCTGACAATGGACATAGTACCAGGCAGTGGACACAGTTCCAGGCAATGGGCACAGTTACAAGCATGGGACACAGTACCAGACAATGGACATAGTACCAGGCAATGGGCACAGCTACAAGCAATGGACACAGTACCAGACAATGGACAAAGTAAAATGCATTGCACAGAACCAGGCAATGGACACAGTGCCAGGCAGTGGACAAAGTTCCAGACAGTGGACACAGTACCGTGCAATGGACATAGTTCCAGGCAATGAGCACAGTTCCAGACAGTAGACACAGTGCCAGGCAGTGGACACAGTTCCATGCAATGGACACATTGTCAGGCAGTGGACACAGTTCCATGCAATGGACACATTGTCAGGCAGTGGACACAGTTCCATGCAATGGGCACAGTTATGCAATGGACACACAGTACCAGAGAATGGACATGTTTCCGGGCAATGGGCACAGTTCCAAGCGATAGACACAGTACCAGGCAATGGACACAATACCAGACAATGGACACAGTATCAGGCAGTGGACACAGTTCCAGGCAATGGGCACAGTTCCAAGCATGGAACACTGTACCAGGCAATGGGCACAGTTACAAGCAATGGACACRGTACCAGGCAATGGACAAAGTAAAATGCATTGAACAGAACCAGGCAATGGGCACAGTTATGCAATGGACACAGTTCCAGACAATGGACACAGTATCGGGCAATGGACACAGTTTCAGACAATGGACACAGTACTGGGCAATGGACACATTGTCAGGCAGTGGACACAGTTCCATGCATTGGCACAGCTATGCAATGGACACACAGTTCCTGACAATGGACACGTTTCCAGGCAACGGGCACAGTTCCGGGTGATAGACACAGTACCAGGCAATGGACACAGTTCCAGGTAATGGACACAGTACCAGACAATGGACACAGTACTAGAGTGGACACAGTTCCAGGCAATGGGCACAGTTACAAGCATGGGACACAGTACCAAACAATGGACACAGTACCAGGCAATGGGCACGATTACAAGCAATGGACACAGTACCTGGCAGTGGACACCGTTCCAGGCAATGGGCACAGTTAGCATGGGACACAGTACCAGTCAATGGACACAGTACCAGGCAATGGACACAGTAAAATGCATTGAACATATCCAGGCAATGGACACAGTGCCAGGCAGTGGACACAGTTACAAGCAATGGTCACACTACCAGGCAATGGACACAGTA